TTCAAGAAAATTCTGATGTAAACAATGTAAAAAGGGGGTTGACAGGCCTACACGACTCCCCAGCGCGTGTTTAGAATAGCCTATTCAAAGTTTGGCCCTCACGAGTATGTCTTTGAGCGATCGCCCTCTTTTGTAAGATACGAGCGGCGGATTTTTGTATATTTCGCTCAATACTGGTTGTGTTTCTATTAAATGCCAGTTCATGTAGTTTATGTAGTTAATGTTCATGCAGTTGTCATTGAATAATTTCTGTTTCTTTGACGCTGAATTTTCTCTTTCTTTCGGTGCTTTCCTCTTAGGAGCATGTGCTCAACTTACTTGCGCTGGTCTTAGATTTGCCTTCAGTGGATCGGGAAATTCGGCTGTTAGACCTTTTTCGCCGGGCCAGGGAAGAGCACAAATATAACTTAAGTGTTTCTTGTCGTATTTTTCTCCGTAAAAAGCTCGCGCGAGCAAGCCAACGCTTGCACTTTGCCATGTCTCGCGAAGGTTTTGGGAAAGGAATGAATACTTTCTTCCCTTATTCCTTTCACTCTTTGAGTGATTTTGGCCATTTATCTGCATATCTTGAGTCTGACTTACACTCACCCCAACAACAGTGTTTGGTACCAACCATGCCGCTTCCTTTTAGAACGCCAAGTCTTTTTTTAACGAAATTTTCCGTCGTTTTGTTTTAATTTTACAGCTCTCGCTCATACATTTCCGCAATGTTTGTCTGAGTCTGTGTGGGGGGTCTCATAGGTTACACGTAACAAAATCTATTTTTAGTAATAGTATAAAGCGCTATTCATACGACTTTCCTTAATTCCAAAAAGCGGAACACACGAATTAGCAAATATCGTCACGATTACTGTAACCTGAAACAACCTAGGCGTGGAAATTTTGCAGGATGTATTACGGAAATATTTTACTTTTTTTGTCCTAACGCACAGGAACAAAGGGGAACAAAAACAAAATTTCAAAGCAAGACTGAAAAGGATTCGATTTCGTAGCAACAATGTTGTGACCTTGTCGATATCATTGAGCGAATGTATTGAATAAAAGCAGAGACTGATGCATAGTAGAACTAATGTGTTATATTTACACGCTTTATATCGGCTGGAAAAACCAGCATTCTTCTGGTACGGTGAGAGTTTACAATCATTTTGGGTAATTTTCATGTTGTGACTGGTCCAGGGTGCCGGAGCGGGAATACAAGCTTAGATCCCACGACAATGTGGAATCAAAGTTAAAACGAAGTATTTGACATTTAAACAAGAAGAAAAAGTTTAAACCTGGACAACAACAACAGAGTGAAGAAGTTTTGCAACAGCTAAGTAACCAGCTTATGGTTTTATTTTCTCTTTGGTAGAATCTCTCAAGGGAAACGAAATATGATCCGAGTTGGAGCGAGTTAAAAAAATCATCGTGATTAGAGTTGGGTGTCAATTTCCTGTTAAATATTAACAAGGAATCGTGTTTTTACCATCCTTGAACAATCAAGAGTAATTTTCATACACTTGGTTTGTTTTATAAGAGCTTTTCTTTTACAAGAACGTTTAGTTTTGGAAGTTAAGCGAAATCTATTATGTTGGCGCATACTTTGCATGACTAAATCTTTTCGTCGCCGCAAAATCCACGATGGCTAATGACCAGACATTTGAGGAAGCCCTGATGGGGTAAATTCCGACGGGGGACATGGAGCTTAAACAGCGACATCAGAGAAATGAAAATGCGACCTCGAGCACGACATTGATGAAATTGCGACAGCGTGAATTACCTGAGGATACAAAATATGCAATTCAGCGGACTATACTTATTTACCCTAATGATGACCTGGTGTCGAAAACGTTGCGTATTTACTTTTTAAATTTAATTTTGCCGAGTAAATAGCTTGTTGAGGCTTGCACAGCAATCAACGCGTTTGTGCTATAAAATTTATTGAATCGTCAACCGCAAATCGATGGTCGCAAACACGGTTTACAAATTAAAACGGGGAAATCTGAGAAAGAAAAATTATTAAAAATAACAAAATAAACGTAAAGAATAAGTAAATGAACATCAAGGCGAAATACACTTACATTCTGTGCGAACCAAACATTAAAAAAGGGACTTCACCACTGGGTGCCCAGACAAGCGACGAGTCTGGTTGTTTATTCGAAATATAAAAGAATGTATGGGAGAATATTGGAGAGTCTTATTATCGTAAACTTATATCATGAAATGCCTGAGTTAAAGCTCAAAATAAATGTAAACCTACCTCACTTGCTGTGTATTGTCGTTTCCGTGGCTCTAAATGGCGAATTTGAGCGATTTGGTGGATTTTGCGTCGACTGTTACTAACGTATAGTATATACCTCCCTTGCTGTGTATTGTCGTTTCCGTGGCTCTGAATGGCGAATTTGAGCGATTTGGTGGGTTTTGCGTCGACTGTTACTATACGTTACTAGTAACGTATAGTAACAAAACCCACCAAATCGCTCAAATTCGCCATTTAGAGCCACGGAAACAACAATACACAGCAAGTGAGGTAGGTTTACATTTATTTTGAGCTTTAACTCAGGCATTTCATGATATAAGTTTACGATAATAAGACTCTTCAATATTCTCCCATACATTCTTTTATATTTCGAATAAACAACCAGACTCGTTGCTTGTCTGGGCCCGCTGTGGCTTCACTAACAAAAAGGACACACTGGCAAACACGTGAGAGAAAAACCGAAAATGTGATCAAGTGTGTTGTCATGTAAGGGTCACGAGGCGTAACGCAAAGGAGAGACAAGATAAAATGAATTAAATAAATCAAAGAAAAACGTCGCATCCTATTTTTTGACTAAAAATAACTCACGTTTTCATAATTGTTATTACGTTTTCATCAATCGCGATTAAAGAACAGCACATGTCGACAGGGAGTTCGAGTTAACGGAGTTGGAGCTAGCTGGTAATAAATGACTGGAAAATGAGGAAATCCAGAAGAGGTCAAATCTTGTTAGAGTAAGTAATTAACTGTCGTCCGGTGAGGCCGATGATATATTTAAAACAAAAGGAGATAAAGAATGAACTACTGCTATAATATGTGCAGAATTTCTTAACCTTGTCGAAAATGAATCACGCTATAAAATTTTAACTGCAACTACCATATCAAAGTTCAGTTTTTAATTGCATCGTTCAGGAATTTGCGGATTGTCGACTTCCTGTACAGGACGTGACCTTTTTTTTTTGGTGGATGTGTCTGCTTCCTGTAAGACTTTCAGTTAACTGTAAATGTATACGCGAAATCATTTATGTCCCTGCGACGAAAGGTCAATTGTTGAGTGGCAGTAGACAGAGCATATAACACTTTACCTGTTTCAAGGACGTCAGATGCTTTTTCCTCAGCGAGACTGAAACATCACTAATATCACAATCGTAGGGGATAGATTTTCAGTCTGGGTCAGGTGCATCGTATGAGCTACTAGATGGCATCGATTTCTACGAAATATTGGGGCAATGGAAAGGATTTCTGGGGAATGAATTGGCAGTACGATCCACAATGGATATTGAACGAAGAACAGAGAGAGATACAATTGAAACTGCTGGAATGCTGTCGTACAGTGATCAGACCTAACGCAGTAAGTTTGTGACACATGCAACAAGTTACAGTATGTTAAATTCCTTACCTTCAATTTAATTTAACTTCAAATTTGCAAAACGATTATAAATAAAAGAAATTTTTTTAAGTTCAGGGCGAAACTTGGAGCGAGTTCGCGCATGGAAAGAGAAACGAGGAAATTGGAACACGCACTCGAAATAGAAAATTGACGCCGTGCGATTAGATAAACTTTAAGCATCAGTGGATCAAATCCTCTTATTTTCGTCTTCTTGTGTTCGTTAAGGTAGTATTTGAATAAATATCCTGTGTTCCAAGAACTAACGGATGCTTCATAATTTCCGTCAAACTATTTGGCACAATCTAAATTTAGTGCTGGTCGTTCTATCACTTTCAGGGGAGGATGAGTACAGTTTCGAGCTTAGTGTAAAAGTGTTGTCATATTTTATGCCTGTAGCGTGTTTTTCACATCGTGGATTCTGGGTAAGAACTACGGATTGGAAAACTACCCAACAATACGCGACGACCTTCGCATTAGTTTTGTACCGAAGCACAAGCCTAAGCAGGAGACTTGTGAAGAAAAAAAGAAATGTTTTCCTGGGCCTTGTGTCAAGTCGACGCAGTTTTTTTTAGTCTCACTAGGCCTCCGTCCATGCTTCTCCAAATAAATTTTCCGCTCAAAACCGTATTTTCGAAAATGTTTAATTCTTCAATGCGGATGAATTTGAAAGACCCACCGCTGAGCGCTGAGAGAAAACATTTTGAAAACTTGGAAACGAGGATTACGCAAATTAACTGATCAGTTGCAGCTCCTCTTGTACACGTTGAAAACATATTTGCTGATCGAGTTATTCACTTATTGTTGAGAAGTGTTTTACGCGGAAGAAAACTTATCTATCTCAACAATTTTGACAAAAACTTCACAAAAATCTTAAGTGAACGGAAATAATTATCAGGGATGCCGCTCCATGGGTGCATATGGTCAATGCTTTGGCAGGAGGGGGTGCTCAACGCCTTTCTTGGGGGGGTCGGGAAGGGGGGGAAGTTTGGTCTTGCTTCTCACTCGGGTTGCATTCACCACTCGATGATCCCATCCCCCCTCCCCTTTCTCCATCTGAGTTTCCCCTTCCCCCCACTTATTCTTAGGAATCGATACTATGTACATCTTGAAATTCAAATTACGTGTACGTGAAATAATTTCGTTTGATGTCAAAGAAAGGTCAATTATAAAGTCCAAAGAATGCTAACAAGATAGATAAAAAAAAGTTAAAGGGATTCGACTTCTCTACGTTGACAAACAGTTTCAGTGCAAGTAATTTATTTATTCACTCGAACTTAGTAGGCAGATTTACTAATCGAGCATACCCTAAGCGCTTTCATTCCTGAGTGACCAAAACAAAATTTCTCCTTACAATAGTATAACAATATCAAGCAGACAAGTGAGGAGATTAAAGAAAAATATCAATTATTAGTAGATTATTAGTTGATCCAATTCCAAATTCACAGAACTAGCTTCATAAGAATTGTTTGGGAGTGAAAAAGTTAACGAGAAGGTCATAAAGAGTTTGAAAAAATGGCAATATGAAAAAAAAATTCGGGGAATGAGTCAGAACTACGATCAACCAAAGGCCTCCTTTCTGCAATCCCGTTCATTGCTGAAGTTAACTTGTGAGGTTTATTTCTTTACTGAGACAGCGATTAACATCCATCAAAAGACAATGAATGTTCTAATGAAGTTAAGTTTGAGACCCAAATGTAATATTTTATGTAAAATATATTTAAGGGAAAGGTTACCCTAGGTTTTTGTGCGATTTATCCTATTGCTGTCCAGGTCAAAAAATCGAGTATGGATGGAAAGAAGGAAAAACTTTGCCCATGTCAAAATTCCGTTTTTATAAAACAAAGAGCATAATTATTTGAAAATGTCACTGGTTGCTTTTCTCCTAAAAACAAATCCACTAATCGTTCACAAATTGCATCTGAGTGAGTTAAGAACCGCCTGGATTTGATGAAATCGCTGTTTGAACTTTACAGATTTCCGTTGTATATCTCAAAACAGAAAGACGATTCATTGTCAGAGAATTCTCGAATCGTGACTTCTACTAAAGATCTCTTGCTGATATCGAAGCTGTCGGTGAGCAGTACTTCAAGTGTCGAGACATTATGGTGATTTCATTCTTCATGAAACGAGAATTTTTCTACATTATCTTATCTGTTTAGTCTTCGTAGAGCCATGACCTTTGTGACCATCGAGTCATGAGTTTTGACTGCAAAAAATTTTCTCTTTTGTATTTAAAATTTGTTTGGCTACATAGGCAGTCTCATGCTGGTTAACAACGGTTAAATCATGTTTTCTTCTAAAAACGCAATTCTTGATTTTAGCAGATGAAACATTTAAAATCGATAAGCAAACCCAGTATTATCCGTTCATGATCGCATGCACTGTTCTAATTCTAGACCACCTAGGACTTAAGAAAATTCAAACAATACGAAAGAACGCCCTTTTCCGTGACAAAGGAAACAAGTCAAGTGCAGTTTAAAGGGGTACTCGCCTTGGCGGTGAAACTAAGAAAACATGACACCTTCAAGATCGCATGCACTGTTCTGATTCTAAAACACCTAGAACTTGAGCAAAATAAATCCAACAATACAAAGGAACGCCCTTCTTTATAATAAAGAAAACGAGTAGAAGTTTAAAGGGGCCACGAATAATTGAAATTAACGTAAAATATCCATCCATCGAGTAACTGCAACGAAGCAATGGGGACCCAAAGGGTTGCAGAAACTGTGAACATTTTGACAAACCCCCCATCTTGCAGGCAGACAACGGGTAACCTTTGCTCATATTGGACCATAAATCCGCTTGCACATGTGTTTTCGGTTACTGCTCGGAAACCACTCATAGGGAAAAAGAATCACTCAAACTCTTAGCTGATTATACTATACAGTGAGACCAATTGCTAGAGGACTGAAACAAACTTTTATCCTTTACCAATTAAAAGCTTGTCATTCATGAAAAATGAAAAAAACCTTCAAAGCAGTATTAATTTCTCTTTTCTGAAATACATAAGAGAACATTTTATCCTATATGGACTTAATTGCTACACTTGATTTTATATTGTGTTGCCCCGTTGTTTTTAAACGCCACATATCTTTACGTGCTGGAATTTTGTTTTCGTCGTAATGTGAAAGCAACGAGTATTAACTGATTTGTTTCCGAGGGTTCGTGTCTTATTACAATAAACAAAAACATATTCCTCCCTTAGTCTGATTTGGTCTACATGTTTTATGCGTAAACTGTAGCCTTGCTCAGTGGCAAATGATGTTAGAGATCATTTATAATTTTGATGTTAGAGATCATTTATAATTTTGATGTTAGAGATCATTTATAATTTATCCCAGCGTTGGACGAACTCGATGTGGCTTGTCCTGATTGGATATTGGCGTGTAGACTAAATCTAGCCGGATTAAACGTCTAGAATCTCAAAGTGATTTAAAGTAGTTTATTTTTCTAAGAGGACTTATCTTATCTTTGTGACGTTATCAAACGCCTTTTCTATGGGTATTCTAACATCACAAAAACGTTGAGAGGCTTGGAAAAATTTTCTGCAGATGGTGAAATCCATGGGTTGCTTTCTTCAAGCCTTTGCCATCCCTGAGGTTGGGAGAGCCGGTTAAAACTGTCTCCCTGGGTTTTTAATAGAATAAATGCCAACAAACTGAAACTCCAGATAGAAAACGTGTCTTCCTGCACAAGAGAGCAGATTAGGTTAAGAACTTGAAAACAATAGATATGTGATTTGGAGTATTAGCTGGTGTACTTGTGATCATCATGGCGAGGCGCACGTCTGCCCGCAAGCCAGAGTCAAACCAAGAAAAATCTCTTCAATTTTGATCTCAGGAAACAGTTTGGACTGAGCCGATAAGTTTATAGAGATAATCAAGAAATTTTAAAAAAACACGATTTCCTCATTCTTCCCTTTACCAGTGTTATGACTCACCAAAGAACTTTCTGTACCTTAGAAGGTATAACATCCGACTGAGAAAAAGAAGTCTTAGATTCAATTGTAAAGAAGCAACGAGATTTTCTTTAAAAAGATAGCTTCAAATTTGCCTCGTTCCAAGTCAAAGCCCCACTTTCCCATTCTCAGCCTGTACTGATACTTCGAAATCTTCCACAAGGCTGATCCCATTTTGAACACAAGCCATCGATGTAAAACATCGATGTATTCATAATCAACTCGATTCAATGGGTTGGAAAATCCTCTAGTCTACTTAAGCGACAGAAGAAAGACGCAAAATAATCAATCGACACAGTAAATCCAAAACACAAAAACATTTCGTTTCCTTGGTTAAAATCAGATATTTCCCTCACATTGAGCCTAACGACGTAGGCTGACCGCAAGTAAATTGGCGCGGCCACGATATTGTGAATAGAGGAAATTAAATGTTGTTTTGAACTAAATCATTTATCTCATAAGTTGAGCCGGAAAACACGTTTAGTTTTTTGTTTTGTCCAATTGTTTTCCTTGTACTTTTTAACTTAATGAGTACGAAACAAGAAGCGTAACAGCTCTGGAATAACTATGAACCTGCTGATATTTTCAGCAGTATGTGCTGCGGTTTATTTGTACAGCCGTCTCGTCAGGTAACTTTATGAGTTGTAGTAGCTACGGCTACACCAGTCAGTTCTGCATACCCTTCGCGAAATGCTAAATTAACAGCTGTTTTTATCGCCTATAGGAAAGACTTTCATGGACACCCACGTACACTGATTTTCCCAATGACAAAACGATGTCGGGAAATTTCCAAAGAAACATGCATTGAAATGAACCGAATAATTTCTTATGACAATTTTTAAAGTAAACAAGGGCAACTCTACCTGAACCATTTTCTTAGGTATGATTGATTATTCTGTAGCAACAAATTGAGGGTCGATCAAAATTCAGAATGTATTGAATCCGAGACATTTCCCACCGGAACATACGAACAGAAGGTCAAGGGCAACCACACTGGTCATGCAGTTTTGTTTTTTTTTTTTTTAAGTTTAAAGAGAAAAGCCAGAGGTGCTAAGAACACAGCAAGGCCATATTACTGTGAAACCTTGGGGACCAGTTAGTGTCTATCATGGGGGGCGGGGAGGGGGGGGAACGAAGGGAGATCACATGGTCTTATGGTTTTCAGGGGGAACGGAGGGGCTAGAGGCCCATGATCCCTTTCCTCAATACCAAGATATTAATCATCACATCAAAACAGGCGCTGTAGTTATATACCAACTAATTAAAATTATGTTTCAATAAATATTTAGGCAATATGCGATGATACTTATACATTTCCAAGGAAGAGCATGGATGCCCTGGCTTCCCTTGGTCTTTTGGGACTTATCGTGCCGAAAGAACTTGGAGGCCTGGGACAGAATCACGTGTGTGCAGCCATGGTTGTTGAGACAATAGCACGATATGGTTGTCCAAGCACTGCTATGGTCTATGGTGAGTCCTTGTTTCACAAGAAGCAAAAATTCTGCTCTAAAATGGGATATTGAATTTGTTTAAGGATTACAGGCACACGTACCTAAATCTTACGGTTTTTCCTAAGAGGGAGACACTTTTGTTCTGTTAGCCATGAATTATGTGAGCAAAAAAGTTACCAAATGATGAGAAATGTTCGGGCGTTTGTACCATACTATTTTCAAGTACATGAAAAAATTTCTCAGTTCTGATTGGTTAAGATGAATGCAGTTTTCAGTTAATTCAGTGCAGAAGAGGGTTAATTCAGTGCAAAAAAAGAAACAAACCGGACATTCTGATTGGTCAGAATGATTGGTCAAGGTCAATGTCAAGGTCGATGTCAAGATCAATGTCAAGGTCGATGTCACTTGCAGGGTTTGAATAAATTATTTTTTCACGTGATGCACGCGCTTTTCTTCTGCGTAGTTATGAGGAAGCTACCTCGTGTTTTTTCATGTATATTATTAATACATAATCACATGATTTTTTCGTGCAATTTGGAATAAATAAGCACTTGTAAATTTTTTCAAAGACCACAAATTGCACTCGCCCTACGGGCTCATGCAATTTTGTTAGTCTTTGAAAAAATTTACTCGTGCTTATTTATTCCAAATTGCACTCAAAATCATGTGATTACCCACACAAATTCGTGAAAAAGAGCGGTACCGTCAATCCATCAATCTTTATCAAAACTTCACATTAACTTTCTGTTTTCTTCGTTTGGCAGTTATGCATTTAGGTGCAGTCGCTTCTTTGCTTTTCCGACATCACAATAACAAAACAATCCAAGATCTGCTCAGGAGACTTGACAATGATAAGTTGATTGGCAGCCTGGTGTTCAGTGATCCCGCAACAGGTATGCAAACGTAATATGTAAATGTGAATGAATGATGAAATGAATCAATCAATAAGTAGATGAATGAATGAGTGAATAACTTGATGAATTAATAGATAAATGTAAGATTTTAGCATTTTTAATTTTACGATGTGACTCCTCGTCTACTGATCCCAAATCGAAATCGTAATTTACCGATTTTGGCTGTTTCGTTTTTGCAAAGGGAGGTAAATCAGCGGAAAGCCCCCCCAAAATCCTTTGATTTCACACAAACATCCTAAAATCTTCGTGCTGTACATAAATGTGAATCGAACCTAAGCATCATCGGTAGAGGGCATGCGCAAACATCTTTAAGTCATTCCTACTGAGTTAGGTTAATAAGTAAGCTCCAACGCTGTTCTCCAAAGTGAAATAAAGGTTGAAAGAAGGAAAATACAGATCGTCAGAGATAAAATCTCTTTCTTAACCTTCCAACAAATGTTATACCGTTGTCTCCATGAGGAAAAGACCAAACAAACAATAGATTTAATAAATATTCTATCCTTTAACAAACCTTCCTGCAGTTCACTCACTTGCACAATGCGTGTTTATTTCTTGTCTCTTCATAGGCGGACATAATTGGTTTCCATTCAACTCCAAAGCTAAGCAATATGATGACGGCACCATTCAAGTTTTACGTTACGGTGCATGGGTAACAAGCGCTGGATTTGCAGATTTCTACGTCGTTGAAAGCACAAGTCCATCATTCGGAGGAGACTTTATGAACCTGAGTCTGTTCCTTATGTTTAAGGTAAAATTCGTATGTTAATACTAGTTTGTCGCTTAAAGAAGTTGCTTGGGATGTAATAGACATTCAATAAAAATAAAGAAAAAAAATAACGACGACACGAGAGTCATAGCGCATTCAACAAGGAGTTGAAGTACTTTGGATGAAAATGAGTCAATTACAAGTTTTCAAAAGCAACCAATCACAGAGGCGTTTCAGGCTTCGTAAGTTGATGTCATCGCCCAATGAAAACTGACAAAAATCTTGTGATCTAATTCTAAAGTGACTTTTTTCATCTTGTTTATATCCTCGTGTCATGACATAAATGATAATCCCCTATTATTATTGTGCTTCGCTATCAGCATAAAAGATATTTTAACGATCTCTTTAAGCTGATCCCATTATCATGTTTTTATGAAACTCAACAGAATGAAGTCCGTTCCAGCACCGACGACTGGTCAGCGTTGGGCATGCATGGTAACCAATCCAGCCCCGTTGTTTGTGAAGGTCTATTGTCACCGGACAGACTTGTTGGCTCATTTGGTTAGTGTAATTGCACAAAACATTTTATAGCATATCCGCTAAAAGATTACAAAATCATAGCACGTTTTTTCCCTGCCAAGCTGGTTTGAGAGTAAGTTATACTACTATGTGTAACTAAAAATCGTTTCATTCTTTATAAATAGGTGAATTTCCATTAGCTGCACATGAAGTCATCGACCCATACTTCCTTCTATTCAGCTCGGCCTGTTGGAACGGCATTGCCCTGGGTTCTATTGATATTGCCAAAAAACACGTGATTAGAACGGAACACGTTGATAGGGGAATGCGCGTGGCGGACTATCCAATCATACAGGTAACGTGGATTGAGAAATTCTACAACTTCTTAACTAACTAAACGCTTTTAAGCGTATATTTAAAAATGTCTGTTCTTCACGTTCTTCTATTCATCTATATTTGTCAATTTTCTATTTCTAGAATCCTTTTTATCAAGCTCACTAAAATTATTTTCTTTGAAGCTATTTTTTCCATTTTTCCCTTGTATAGGACTACTTTGGCAAATCTCTTACGGAAACCAACTGTAGCCGTATGATGTTGTTCAGTGTGGCACAAGCCATGGATCAAGTGACCAATGATAATGACTGGTCCATATACGATCAACCACTCATGGCACCCATGTATGTAGTACAGTCCACTCTGGTTTCCAGCTCAGACGATAGATAAATCACATTCCTCATAAATCTCATCTCTGCCAAACTATCCCACCATAAATCTCACATTTTTGTAAAGTATATTTTTGTCTAATTCCTCGATAGTTTGGGATTTTTTACGTGTTTATTTGTAATTCTTTATGTTTTTCTCCTGTAGTCGAGGTCAGTTCCATCATTGGTGTTTTCAAGTCAAAATCAAAGCTGCTGCCAACGTTAACGCTGTCACAGATGAAATGATGCACGCCTGTGGCGGAGTTGGATACAAGAAAGAACTAGGTGGGTAAGGTTCTACTATGAAGAGTGGGTTCTTCTGAGTGAAAGGAAATATTGAGTAGGTCTAACAGTCTGGAAGAGGAACTATGAAGTCTAAGAGATCTATCTCATAGACATCGCGGATTTAGGCGGCTGGATAAGGGCTGAAGGGGGCCAGTTTGTGGTAGAAGGGGGAGAAGCCATCAACTTTTGTGCAAGACTTTGGATCCTTAAAGATCCTCAATCAAGCCAGCCTTGTAAGCACGCGTTCTCTATTCCTTGACTGTCCGAGTGAAGCTTGGGAAGGGGTTTTCCTTATAAGTCTCTTACGCTCATAGTAAGGTCCATGCCTAGCCGAGCAAGGAATGCTCAGCCATTGGACCGGGAACGGGCCTTCCCGGGGGGGGGAAGGGTCATCGTATTGTATATCTGGGCATGGATGCCTCCCCATTATGGTACCTTTCTCTCTGTGTCATGAGAAAACTTGGTGTGAAAACAGCCTCTCTTCATTGGAAAGTAACATAACTATAGACAGCGATAACTTTAACTGTACAAGAAAGAAACCCATCATGTTTGGCTCATGTGCATTGTAGGTCTAGAACGCCTTCTCCGGGATGGCAAAGCAGGATGGATGATGGGTGCTAGCAACGAGGTGCTCAGACAAATTGTTGGAAAAACGAGCCTGTTTGGTCTTGAAGTCTTGGATCTCTGGTAAATAATCTATATCTGGTACTTATACCTTTCATCTCCACAACAGTTTACTAAAAGTTTATTCGAATCTGGTAATTGTGAGTTTATTACGTTTTTCGAGCTTTATCCTGCTCTCGCTGTGGGTAAATGCTTTCTGTTATGATCGAAAATATTACGTGAGCAATCTGTTCCGATCAACGCGGTGACTTGATTTAATGCTTTTTATGAATGTCATTTCTTCATATATATATGGCTGGATTTAGTTGAAAAATTCGGAAAAGGCGGATGCATGGGACTCTGGATCAAAATATTCGAGTGCGAGCCTAAAGGGAGTCATTTTTTTTTTGTTTGGTCTCATGATTGAAAATTTTCTCCCACTCTTTCTCTCTCCACTCGTGGCTATGAATTGTTAGCGGCTATCTGATAAAGTAACCTGAGGAAATGCTGGAATGGACATGGAATCCAGCTAGGGAGGAAAATAATACTTAAAAGCTCTGTTGGAGCCTGTTTTACAAGCTATTGAATTTGAAAATAACATATTGCACTCATTTGTAATTCTCAGGGGAAAAGTTTCCGACACACGTGTGCTTAATTCAGAACTGAGGAAGCTGAGTGCTGAGGAAAAGAAAGAACTGGCTCGTAAACTTCTTATTGAAGCCAGTAATGAAGACAACGATTTCAACCACAACATCGAGCTTCAGAATTCCTACCAAGATTCAGAGTTTGAAAATCCATTCAACACAGGTCCTCCAACGATGCAGAAATCTTTGGACATGCATGACGGGCTGCCCCACGACCCTTGCCTCAAACCTGACGAGTTCACCGCCCTAAAACTGTACTCAGTAAAACCTCTCGGGGAAACGATTGCCGAGTACACATTTTCTCTACCCCAGGCCACAGACTTCACGGGATGCTTCCCTGGCCAATACGTCCTAATGAGGATTGGGAAACATCAAAGGTTTCTCTCCCCAGTGTCGCGCGCAAAAGAATTGGGTAAAATTTCCCTCTTGTTGAAACATGAGACCAATGGAATATTCTCCAACTGTATCCGTGCTCTACAAATCGGTAAGAATGACAGCAAAAAATATTTACAAATGTAAACCAGTATTCTGAAAATTCAGTGAACAGCAAAGTTCGTCTCGGGGATTATTCAACAATATTGACTTCGCCTTCGGCGAATATTGTTAATCATTCTTAAACCAGGTAAATGGTATTTACCAATCTTTTCCCCTACAATGATAATAAACCCAAAGTGGTTCTTTTCCTTCCTTTCATTCCCACACGCAAATATAGAGGTGGACGTAAGTCGTCTCGTCAGTTTGACGCCCTGATGTCATATTGCGTAGCCAGCCTCGTTCCCAGATTCCATTTCTCTCTTGAAAGGAGGATGATCTTGGGAAACAAGCTGATTACTTTGCAGTGCCGAACATTGTTTTTATAGGCAATGATAACTGCCTAAGTGAGATAAATCCAAAGAACTTTTTGGTCTTTTCTTCAGGTGATACCGTGGATTTTCGCGGACCTTGCGGTGGATACGAGTATCAACCTAACTCTACCAAGTATTTGACTCTGGTAGTTGGTGGTATGTCCTGCCAGCCGGCCATTCAGATTATTCGTGAAATAATGGCTAATCCTAAAGACCAGACCTCTGTGACCCTGGTACTTTGTGCTGCCAGACCAGCTGATATTCCTTACCTCCAAGAATTGCAGAAATACGCTTTACACGACAAACGCCTTACAGCTTCGTTCACGGTGTTTGAAGTCGACTGCGATGATTGGAAGGGAGGAGAAGGTTATATCGATGCTAAGCATTTGTCTAGTACCCTTCCCCTCCCCACAGAGTCCAGCCATCGTGTGGTTGTGTGTGGAGGGCCCCGAATGGCCCTGGGAGTACTCCAGGGGCTTAGAACGCTGGGTTACTCAAGTGAGAAGATCTTTGTGTACGGGCAGTTTGGGGTTCAACAGATCAGGGCTGTTTATGGAAAATGTGCAAAGCTGGCAGAGCACAGGGAGACTCACATTATCAACGGATATCATTAACCAAACGTCTCTATACGGATTACCAGAAAATAACCCTGCCTCTGTGTGCTTATAACTGAAGAAGTAAACCTCGCCATCGACAAAAAAAGGATACCAGGGTTTTCCAAGCTTCTTACATCCTTCTCTGTACAGTGAGACATAGAGAGACAAAGTGAAAGAGTTTTTTTAAGTTGAAAACAATTAATTGTTCCCACTGGATCGAATAGAACTGAACTCGAAAATTAACTGTGATCGCTTACGGTCAAACTTGTGCAAAAATTAATAATTTTGCATGATTGGTGCGATTGACTCCACAAGAATGTGATTATGTTTTTGACTACAAGGATTTTATTCATTATCACCTTGATTATTGATGCTTCTGATCTTTTGATCAACAGATGAAATCAAGTTTTTGAATAAGTTTATCAAGTGATAAGACCCTATCTTAATCCATGATATATATCAATAAATGTGCTTTGAACATGGCTAGTCAATAAATATATACAAAAGAATACAAAATGTGTAGGTGTATATATCCTTGCAAAGGATTCTATTTGTACATAAATTTACCGCTCGATTTTGATTGAAAGGCTGTCGTCTTCCGTCTTCTTCCTCAACTTTTATCGACTTTTTTTGTCAAATGATTCAAATCATATCGGTAAAAGACAATATTGAGCCTTGTGAAACATAGTTCTCGTTGTGCATTATTCTATCCGTCTGTCTGTGCAACTGTCATTTTCTCTCCGTTTGTCTGTCTGTCTCTCTGAAAACTTAATGTATCTCTGCCTTTCTGTTTCTCTTTTGTAGTCAGCCGTTTCTGTAGCTGCGTTTAAGCGAAGCTTTTGCACGTGAACAAAGCGTGACGCGAAATGAGTTGGACATGAATAGAGCTTCATGTTTCCCCTGCCTCCCCCCCCCACAACTGAATCTCCAGCGGCTGTACTTGGAGGCTCCTCCCCTGTTGAAATGGACATGGTCCAGTTTTATCTCTCGTGTCTGAAGTCATGTAAATGATGTGGATGAGCGTTCTTTTTTAAATTAATTTCACAAAACTTCCTCATTACAAGAAGTGACCCATGCCGTTTGCAGGGATGCCATCCTATTTGAATTTCTACACAGCATCTTGGTCCCATTTCTGAATTTATGATACCAGAAGAAGCAAATGATAGGATTCAGGAATGTTGAGGTCTTGGCAAGCATAGCTGTTAAGGCTAAGGCCAAAGGAGGGATTTTTGCTGGAGTACCAATGATCGAGAGAAGAGAAATTATGGCATATGGCATCCAGACAAGGAAAATAGCCACAAACATGATCACACCAGTCCAAATTGATTTTTTCTTCGCCGCTACGCGACCGATGGTCATTTGTGCTCTAGATCCCCATTGCTTCTTGGCTTTCCTTGCCATCCTTTGTAAATCGTACGAAATAGCAGTATAACAAGCTATTATAATAATAACCGGAATAAACAGGAACAATACAAAAGTGATTATGGCAAAAGAGACGTCAGTTGAATCAGTGGATTTCCATTTGATTGAACACACAGCTCCACTGCCTTCTGGTCCATAGGATGACCAGCCAATCAGAGGCATTGTTCCCCAAACAAGCACAACAGCCCAGACAACAACAATAGTGGTGATCATTTCACGCTTTCGAGCTCCAGCGTGTCGTATTCCTCGCACAATTTTTCTGGTGGCCTCTACAGCAATGACAGCATGGTGCAGGATAGAAGAAAGGCCAACAACAGTGTGACCATACGCGTACCAGTTACAACCGACATCGCCCATTAACCAGATCATATTAGCATTGGCGACAATTCCAAATGGCATTACAGTTAAAGCTAATACCAGGTCTGCTAGTGCCAGGCTAAGTACTGGTAAGCTCGAAGGAGTAAGAAGACAGCGAACTTTGTAGAAGGTAAGGATCACAATGCTATTGGTGATTATGGTCGCAAGCATCGTCAGACTGTAGACAGCAGCGATCGTCTCGTAGATCTTCTCGGTGAGGACTTGGGTAATTTGACGGGCCATGACGAGTCTTCATAAACTAGATTGATCAGAATGATAAGAAAGATGATAAGTTTTGAGCCCGGTAGAGAAATATAGGAAGATGTTTTTTCGTCTAATAACGGATGCGGGACAAAGAAACAATTCTGAGTCCCCATGAGGAATCCAACCTCAGTGAGCAATTGGCCATTTTACAGCTGTGTACTTAGTTTCCAAGCCTTTGATTCAGAGTGAGGCTTAAGAGGAATCGAACCTCAGTGAGCAATAGGCCATTTTACAGTTGTGTGCTTAGTTGCCAAGCCTTTGATTCAGAGTGAGGCTAAAGATGACCTTGTTGTGATAGAGACCTGTATCTAGTTAGCATGATAACAAAGTGATTTACATTTGAAAGGCAGCAAGGTTTGTATCATAACAAGGTCATCTCTAGCCTCACTCCCGTACTTTCCGCTAGAGACAAAAAATTATCAAATAATGGCATCAAAAATGGTCTGATAATTATCAAAATGCGCAAATTATGCTAGCATTGCTACTTGGCAGAAATTATGCCAGTTTGCTCGAATTATGCCAAAAATTATGCTAGCATAATCTATTAATGCTTACAACCAAGCACACAACTGTAAAATGGACTATTGAACCTATGTTAATTTCATAATGGCCTTGTTCACCTTCGAGTCTTTGTAACTCAGTGGTGGAGCATCGGAGCGTAGAATCCGAAGGTCTGAGGTTCAATCGCTCAGGGAGTCTCAACATTTTTTCTTCGTCCCACGCTCGTGATCAGACGAAAAAACATCTTTCTATAGATTAATCAGATTTTCATAATTTTCTTTCTTCGTGGTCTTGTTTCACCTTATCCTATCATTTTCGTATAACCTTGTAGATGTCTGTAATGTTAACAACATCGAAAATGTTGAACGCCTACAGAATATATCAACATTTGAACTTTAATTTAGCTGATACAGATCTATTAATTGAATTCTCGCACCGAGTTTCATGGTTTCCATAGGTTTTGGCCATCACCTACTAATTAAAGATTTTTCATACCATTAGCAAGAACTCTTTTTGCCCTATTCCTTCTTTGATCAGATATTACTAACTGTGTTAAAAATATCTAACAAACTATCTCAACACAAAGCAGAGTATGGCTCCAAATCATTGCAAAAGAAAAGGGCCTTGATCACTGCCAATTCATAATTTGACGAGCACTTCCATTTGTTCCTACTGAAACAAAAGAATATAATATATTCTGTTTTACTTCTCATGTTATGATTAGAATATATTACATTTTTGCCGCAGTTACTGTGAAAATTTAATGAGTTCAAGTTCTAAAGCTTTTACAGAAACATCAAAAATCGCATAACTTCTCTGTTTCCACAATAATTCTTAACGAGGATTTGGACAAAATAGAAGCTGCGATGTTTTATTTTTATCTTTCAGGTCCATCAGAAATTTCTGTCTCGGAAATAATTGCGCTCATGAATAGACTATTTATAGCAACAAAAGCAAAACCGTTAATTTATTCCGCTCTAAGCTCTAATTAAATAGAAAATACCTTTAGAAGTGATTAGGGGAAGGTTGGCTGAGGAACCTTTTTCCAATAGCTTGTAAGAACGATTCAAGTTGATTAAAAACCATGACAATTTTTAAAGAGGTTTTCAAAGAGTTTCGAGGATTCCTGGAAAAAAACAAGGAAAAAAATACACCAACAGACACGCAATTCACATCACCCTGGACTGAAATTCGACAAAAACCCAAGAAATACTTTTAGTGAAGCTAGAGGCACTAATCCATTATAATCGATTTCTTTTTCAATTTATCAAAAAGAAGACAGCATCACATTCCCTTGATTTTTATTGACTTTGCCAAACCATTCAAAATAAAATCTCCAATTAAGAGAGAACGTCATTGATTTTGAATTTTATAAGAAGTTAACTATGTTATTAATTGCTTTTTCGTTAGAGATATCACCACATAATGCAAAACTAATACCTTTATCCTTTCTTGGCAAAAATCATTTTCATGACACGTTAAGCATTTCTTTTTTGTCTCCGCCAAAATTTTCCCAACAGCTTATAATTCAGAAATAAAAATATCGTGGTACACAAAATGATGCCTTACCAGTTTTCAGAGCCTGTGTTCCCTATTTGAAAAAGAATTCAAATGGGAAACCAGCTTTGTCTGACCAATTTACACAGTTGAGGCCTACGCTATTTGCAAATTGTTCATAACACGCTCTGTTTGCCTTCCAAATTTTGCTTAAGAATTCTATCAAATATTTATGGAAGAGTAGGTGGTTCCGACATATATTGGAAAACCATTCAAATGCATATGTTCCTTGTTTTATTTCTCTCTTTCTTTCTTTCTTTCTTTCTTTCTTTCTTTCTTTCTTTTGTTTATTTTTTCTATTTTTTTCTTGTTTTTTATCTTTCCATCTTTATTTCTTTCCTTCTATTTCCAGTGGGTCTGGAGGGAGCGTTACTTGTAAAGACTCGTGTGCCCCATACCAGACTCCAAGCGGACACCAAAGCTTGAGAAAAAGCCTGGGAAGTAGGCTTAGCTAATTCAATGAAAGTGAAATATTTCCTAAGAAAATTTTGGTCAATAACCGAGTGGTGCCCAGCCATTATTGCTGTCGATATTCTTATCAGAGCTCGCTTCTGCTAATTTATATCATACTGGGAAGCGTGACGTCATTAATAGAGATTTCAAGACTCATTTCAAACTTTGCATGGACAACGAGATATGAGAGAGCAACTGGGGACTAGGTCGATTGTATAGAAGCGGTTATGAACTGACATTTGACGATGATTCGCACGATTACATTTATCTTCAGTTGTGCAACTACTTACAATGAGGAACATGAAGAAGAATACTTAATTTGCATTTTCAAAATCTATTTTATCAAGCAATTATGAATGTTGTTAGGCCTAGTTCCCACTAGCGACATAATGATCATAATCATAATCATAAGCATGAACATAACGCTGTTATGCAGTAAATGGTTTGAACCCGGGGGTAACATGTGAAGGTGTAGTATGATCGTCCGGGTGAGTGTAGTCCTGAGAAGGACTGTTGTCGGTGGTAGTGACTGACGTTTCGACAACCTGTGCGGAAGTCATCATCAGAGTCAAGTGAATGATTGTTGTCAGTAGAATGTTCTCAAACCAACCGATCATTTCACACGAACTGGAATAAGAACATTCTACTGACAACAATCATTCACTTGACTCTGATGATGACTTCCGCACAGGTTGTCGAAACGTCAGTCACTACCACCGACAACAGTCCTTCTCAGGACTACACTCACCCGGACGATCATACTACACCTTCACATGTTACCCCCGGGTTCAAACCATTTACTGCATAACAGCGTTATGTTCATGCTTATGATTATGATTATGATCATTATGTCGCTAGTGGGAACTAGGCCTAACAACATTCATAATTGCTTGATAAAATAGATTTTGAAAATGCAAATTAAGTATTCTTCTTCATGTTCCTCATTGTAAGTAGTTGCACAACTGAAGATAAATGTAATCGTGCGAATCATCGTCAAATGCCAGTTCATAACCGCTTCTATACAATAGCCCAGTTGCTCTCTCATATCTCGTTGTCCATGCAAAGTTTGAAATGAGTCTTGAAATCTCTATAAATGACGTCACGCTTCCCAGTATGATATAAATTAGCAGAAGCGAGCTCTGATAAGAATATCGACAGCAATAATGGCTGGGCACCACTCGGTTATTGACCAAAATTTTCTTAGGAAATATTTCACTTTCATTGAATTAGCTAAGCCTACTTCCCAGGCTTTTTCTCAAGCTTTGGTGTCCGCTTGGAGTCTGGTATGGGGCACACGAGTCTTTACAAGTAACGCTCCCTCCAGACCCACTGGAAATAGAAGGAAAGAAATAAAGATGGAAAGATAAAAAACAAGAAAAAAATAGAAAAAATAAACAAAAGAAAGAAAGAAAGAAAGAAAGANTAAACAAGATGGCGGCCAGATTCGAGGAAAAGCTTGCGAGTGCAGTTGAAAACCGTTTCCACTAGAACATAAGAAGCATATGTTTATGTTCGTGCTTATGATTATGATTATGATCATTATGTCGCTAGTGGGAACTAGGTAATTGAATATCTTCAGTGTTTTTTTTTTAATTGAGATCATGAAGACCTTGTGGACACAGGCTGGTCAAAAGGTCGGGGAACTAACCCTAACCTGAATCATTGTTTTGCGCTCTTAGAAGACACACAACCCTTAAAAAAGGCTCTTTACCTCGCCCAGAAATATGAATGAGTTCAAGCACAGCGAAGAAGGTTAATTTACTGAAAAAGGGATGATGTGCCACAAGGCAAAAAATAACAAACAACAAATCTTTTATTTCTCGCAAGAAGAGTTATTTACAGTGAAATGATAATAAAATTACGAATACTTGACAAGCAATTTTTAAAAGCCATAGTTTGATCACAACTGGTACCTAGAGTGGAAAGAGAGAGAGAAACCAGGCTTAAAATATTATTTAGTGTTACTACGTAAGACTGATGCTAGACTTTTCTATTCAAGTTACTCGTGAAGTTGTTTTTACATCGACAGGAAGTAACGTTTCCCTTCTTTGGCAAAAAGAAAAAATGCAGTGAGCCATTACAGCAGATGATGGTGATAAATAAGGTATCAATTTAATTTTCCTTGGTTAGTTTAATAAATAAAAAGATTCTCAATTTAAAAATAACTGATTGATTGGTATAAACTGGCCAAGTTGATAAATAGAGAAATTTGAAATTATACCAGTATTCTGAGAGAACTTATATAAGGGACGTGATATTTCCTGAGGGTTTCAATGGGTATTTACGGGTAACAATTAATGTTTTACGTATCTAATACCGCAGTTCAAAATATATGAACTTCATATATTTCATTGTATCTGAATTAATGTTTTGGCTATTTTACGACCAACAGTTAACAGAACTTTTTTTACGGTTAACTTTTTTTATGACTAAGTGTTTAAATTTGGCAATCTTTGCGCCTAACAGTTAAATTTTCTGGCCGTTTTACGGCTACAGGTTAACCCGAGACCTCTTTCCAAGACAATGAAATATCCATTGTAACACCTGAAATATTTTAAATGATCCCTTTGTTCTAGAAGACAGTACAATTTACGTATGTTTTTCTACCTTATTTCTACATTTTCAAACACTTTGAGAATAGCTCAGAAGTAAAGAACTTCATTAGTGTGCTCCTTTCAATAAAGTAAGGTCTTTTCGCCGATTTATTAAGAACAAAACATCGATCATTGGTCAAATTATTAAGTGAACTCGATGAATACAAAATTAAACGCCCTGAAAAACAAAGGAGCAAAGAGCGTGCATTGATATTTAGTTGTTAACCTTTTTCCCTTTGTCAGAACATTACGTCTCAGACTGGAAAATACATGTATCAGGGTTAGCTTCCTGTTGAATCGCACGGTATTGTGGGTACGCGGGCTCAAAAAAAGCGGGCATCAACTTGCAGCTTCACCACATTCGAATACATAAAGTGACTTGGATTCAGTGACTTTTTACGCAGGAAAGCCCTTCTTGTGAGCCGAATTATACGTGAGGGAATATAGGAAAACCAAATCAAAGGTATTTTAAAGGTGTAGTTATAGGCTGTCCTAACAGTGGACAAAGGCTAGGAAAATGGGCTGCTACGACCTGTGTACTTCATGGTTAGAAAAATGGCTCAAGCATGTGTGACTGCCACCCACCCTTCAAATTATTCCCATTCCCGACAGAAAAGAAGAAACCAGAACGCTGATTACAATGGGCAAAAAATATAAATAGCAACAGTTTGAATGGGACTCTTTGGATGACTAACAAGGATTCAAGAATTTGTAATCTACACTTCGTTGTCGTGAAAAGTCACTGAAGTCAATTTTCTCTATGTATTCCAATATGGCGAAGCTGCAAGTTGAACAGGAAGTCTGGAACTCCTCATGCATGTACTCCAGAAAACTAGGACCAGGGCATTGTTTCTTTAGCCCCCAACAGTGCCGAGGTTTCCAGATGCTTCATGATTATTTTCATCCCCTTTTGTATAATTTCAGAAAGAGCAGCTCTTGTATTCACATCACAGCATTGCTGTTTAGACCATCCACCTGACTTTCACAAAGTATGTTTTTGTATTTGGATGATATTTTTTTCCAAGTTCTCTTAACTGAAAAAAATAGCCAAAAAACTTTCTTAGTGATAAATAATGCTTTTCGAGAGATCAACAATTATCAGTAAACATGTTACTTTTATCTTTATTATTTTTTTCTAATTGATTACGGCTCTTGTTTTTTTCGATCGTGTTTATCTCATTTTGATAAGTAAAGATTTAAAAAGATGAGTTTCTCTTTACTTTTAGTGAGCGGAATACATTTTACTTCATATCTAGAGCCCCTTGCCAATATGGCCCTACTTCGAACACATCCCCCACCTAGCAAGAACTCTTTGGATTCATTGATGAATATCCGATTCATTTAAATCCGATTCATTTAAGAGAAAAAATGTAATCGTTAGTCTCACGATGTTAGACAAATGATTAAATTTTTCTTTTAAGAGCGCGTCTCTGAAAAAATTAGGTCTGATTTTCGCTATTGCATAAATAGCGCTCTCTACTGAGAGGATCGTGCATCATACGTATCTATAACCGCAGTTCAAAATATATGAACTTCATATATTCATCATACACTGTACCTTTGTGATCACACTTGGAAAGTTGAAGTATTAAACTGTTGTATTCCAGAATGTCTCTCGTAATGAACCATTTTTGACAGCGTGAGGTCCTAATAAAGATTGCTCATTTTGTGTACGGAAATGATGTCAATTTCACTATTCGACCTACGTGCAGAAAATTGTTCAAAAATAAAAAACTTTTGAAATCTGAGGGAAACCACTTTTGTTCCGATGATGGGCAATGGTTTCCTTATCCACATGCAAAGATTAAGGTAATATTTATTTTTGAACCAATTTTGAGTGGTCGGAAATTACAGAGACACGTTCTTAAGTTTTATTTACCACGATGAAAAACCACAACCTATTTTACGATATATCTATTTTGAGATATTGATGAGGAACCAAGTAACTTCAATTGTGAATGTCGATCTTTGGATAGACCAAAAAAAAAAAAAACAGATATAAAAATTGTTTTTCAGACATAGATTTGACTGAAATAACTTAGATCTGTTAACTGGTTACAGTGATAGCTGATAGTTCTAGAATTTCTGTCGAAGGCCAAGAGTAAATGTTGTCTGCAATAACAGATCAATTCTGACCCGTTGCGGGGCCGATCGATGAGCATTTAAATCAGAACTTTCGGAATCTAACCATGACACCCTTTCTTACCTTACCGACTCGGGAAAAATCTCTATTTCGTCACAGGTAATGCCTAAATCTTGTCTTTCATCAGTTTATTTTTTCCATGGGACAAATGAAGTATGGAAACTGGAGAATGTAAATTTAGTGATTTATCCCTTCACCTTAGGCCTTTTTGAAGTGGTCGACTTCTTTTTCAACGGCTTTTCCGAACTTATAAACCATTTGGAACCCCGAAATAAATTGTCAATCAACGTTTCATAACGGTAAATAAGGCAAATATGGTACTACGTATCATAAAGCGGTCCATCGGAACTAATAGCCTGTACGTGTTTTCGCAGCTCTATAAGTCACTGGTCAGGCCCATACTGAAGTATGCGGCTCCTGTTTGGGGTCCGTATTTGATTTAGGATATTACGGCTCTAGAAAAGGTTCAACGAAGAGCTTCGCGACTAGCTTTAAGGCAGAAACGAGGCGAAATGAGTTACGAACACCGTTGTGGCTTACTAAAATGGCAAATACTAGAAAAGCGGAGAGAATTTCTATCCCTGGTTCAATGTTATAGTTTTTGGTATTGATCACCTCTCTTTCCCAGATTTCTTTGTGTTTGCCAATAAGCATACAAGAGCTAACCACGACTATAAACTTTACCTAAAAAGAGCCGTTTGTAATTGTTACAAATATTCTTTGTTCATTCGCATTGTGGGCAAATGGAATAGCTTGCCAGGTACATTGTACACGCCGAATCATTGTCTGTTTTTAAGAGTAGACTTAAAATTTATTTGAATATTTATTGAATATTTATTGAACTTGTAGCCATTAGATTTTATCTTTTGTATGTTTTTAGTCAGGGAAATTGTTTTTATACAGGGCTAACCTCACGATTTTCCCTTTTCAGGATGTATTTTTTATATTTGCGTCAGCTTCCTGAATAAAGGTTATGTTATATGACAGAGCTGAATAACGTATACGCATGCGCTAGGTTTTGCCGCGGAAACACGGATTTTGAGTCGTTCGCGTGGTTGATTTCCTATTCTGTTGCTTCATGGCGTTATTTTCCTTGCCGCTTTTCTTTTACAGAACAACCTTAAAAAGCTTGGTACACCCCCTAAAAATGTTCAAAAATTAATTTTCTCCTTAAAACGTCTGGAAATAGGAAAGTGCCTTCGACGAAAACAGAGTTCCTCGGTTTTAAAAGTCAGCCCTTATTATTTTCCACCAATTCCGCTAATTCTTAGACCTAGGACTTTTGAGCCCGCGTTGTTGACCGCACACCCTCTGACGTAGTATTTCATTATTCAGCTCTGTCATGCTATGTTATAACGGGGCATTACATAACGAATTTTACATAACTAGACACACGACATAAGGCATCATGAGAGGGGTGTACTAGGTACGGCCGTGATGATATTCACTGTTCCTTGAAATTAAGTCTCCGGTATCAGGTACAAGTCAGGTATGACTGAGGGATTACACTCTGCTCCTCGCTTACGCCAAGTCAGCCTGCTCTTGCGAATTTCATGCACCCGACGCTGCGCTATTTAAGGTAGGCCAATCAGCTTGGGGGATTTTGTCACACAGTTTTTTGAAGTGGAATCTAGCAACATGAAAATCCCGTAATGTTTCCCTATGTAACAGTATTTTGAAAAACGGAAACGCCCTACCTATAAGCATACACTGTTATATAATAAACTGAATGTTACATGCTCTGCAATTGGTTGGCATGTCCAAGTCCAACCTTTCCCATTTAATAGCGAATCTCTATTAGAAGCAAGTTCAACTTTCCCCAACTCTTTTCTTATAAACTTTCAGCAATCTCTGGTTCTACAAGTCGGCCAGTCCCAATTGTGCTCAGCAACTTTTGAGCTGAATTTTTGACGTTTGGAGCAAATTTTGCGGATCTTGCAACCTCGTGCAATTTTTGCCTTTTTTAGCCATT